AACGCAGCTCTATACCGCTGCCAAACGCAGCTTTCATCCGCTGCAAATGCAGCTTCCAATCACTGCGTTCAAGCTTCCAGACATTGCGTTTGGACACAGAATTCATGCTAGAATGCAGGAGCTGCGTTTGACTCGTTCAAACACGAGTTGAACGGTTTCAAAACCGTTTCCCACGATCTGAGGGGATCACAACTCCACTCAGGAGTGATTTAAGGGGCGGTTACATCGCATTAATTTAAGGGGCGGTTACATCTCATTAGCCCCACTTAGGAGCGAATTAAGGAGGTGGTTACACCCCTTAATCCCCTATAAATAACTGAAAATCAATTCAGTTCAAGAGGGGTCTGTTGGAACTTCTTGGCAGCGAAAAGAGGATCCTGCATCCTTCGGTTGGAGCTTTGGAGATCAGCAACAAGATCTTCTTCATCCTTGGCTTATAACCGACTTTCGGTTAAATCAACTCTTTCATAGAGTTTTAAACTCGTTCAGAGTTCTCCACAACGTCAAATCGTGAGGAGAAGACTACGTTCCAGTGAAACAAGACATCGGATCGTCAACGAGAAGCAAACTCGACGCGAGCATTCGAGGGAGGCATCTCATCGCCACCGTGAAGAACCCAGAATTAAACAAAGGGGAGAATCCAGATCATTCTCCTCTCTTTTGTAATCAGGAAATCCAATTGTAACTGAGATTAAAGGAATTTTTCTAAACAGTTAGAGAGAATAAAGTCAAACGCAATTCTTTCATTCATTTTCTTATTACAAAATTTCCAACAAACAATCCTTAGGAGGAGCAAAGTACTTTGTGTCCTTTATTGATGATTACTCCAGGAGATGTTGGGTGTATCCTATCAAGAAGAAGGCGGATGTGTTCTCAGTCTTTAAAGCCTACAAAGCGCGGGTCGAGCTTGAATCTGAGAAGAAGATGAGATGTGGACTGGCAAACCAGCTGACTATTCCAACCTCCATATATTTGGAAGTCCAGTGTACGTAATGTACAATGCCCAAGAAATTACAAAGCTGGATTCAAAATCCAGAAAATGCATATTCTTGGGGTATGCTGATGGAGTAAAGGGGTATCGCCTGTGGGATCCCACTACCCGCAAGGTTATCATCAGCAGAGATGTTATCTTTGTAGAGAACCAACTACAAAGTGAAGAGAAAGAAAGCAGTTCGAGGAAGGACTCAGAGACTGTAGCTGTTCAGGTAGAAGATAATCCGAATTCTTCTGAAGCGACACCGGAGCATGATGTACAAGAACCAGTCGAGGCCGAGGCTCCAGAAGTTCGAAGGTCAACTCGTGAGAGAAGACCACCGACTTGGCACTCGGAGTATATTACGGAGAGTAATGTTGCATACTGTCTTCTAACAGAAGATGGAGAGCCATCAACTTTTCATGAAGCTATAAATGGCACAGATGCATCTTTGTGGATGGCAGCAATGCAGGAAGAAATTGAAGCTCTCCATAAGAACAAGACTTGGGAACTTGTGTCACTGCCACAAGGAAGAAAGACCATTGGAAACAAATGGGTCTACAAGATCAAGCGAAATGGCGATGATCAAGTGGAGCGGTATCGTGCTAGATTGGTGGTAAAAGGATATGCTCAGAAAGTAGGTATTGATTTTAATGAAATATTTTCTCCTGTAGTTCGACTAACAACAGTCTGAATAGTCCTGGCTATGAGCGCTATATTTGACTTACATCTAGAGCAGCTAGATGTGAAAACAGCATTTCTTCATGGAGATCTTGAAGAAGAAATTTACATGCTCCAACCAGAAGGTTTTGAAGAAAAAGGAAAAGAGAACTTGGTTTGCAGATTGAACAAATCTCTGTACGGTCTAAAGCAGACGCCGAGGTGTTGGTACAAGAGATTTGATTCATTCATCATGAGCCTTAGATACAACAGACTTAATTCAGACCATTGTGCATATTTCAAGAGGTTTGGTGAAAATAACTTTGTTATCTTATTGTTGTATGTTGACGACATGTTGGTTGTAGGCTCCAACAAAGATCGTATCAAAGAATTAAAGGCTCAGTTGGCTAGGGAATTTGAAATGAAGGATTTAGGATTTGCAAACAAGATTCTAGGGATGCAAATTTACCGAGACAGAGTTAATAGGAAGATTTGGCTTTCTCAGAAGAATTATTTGAAGAAAATCTTGCGGCGTTTTAACATGCATGATTGTAAGTTAATTTCTACCCCACTTCCTATTAATTTTAAGTTATCCTCCAGTATGAGTCCTAGCAGTGAAGAAGAGAGGATGAAGATGTCTCGAGTACCGTATGCATCAGCAGTGGGAAGCTTAATGTTCGTGATGATTTGTACAAGACCAGACATTACACAAGCAGTGGGAGTGGTTAGTCGATACATGGCAAATCCTGGTAAAGAGCATTGGAATGCTGTAAAGAGGGTTCTAAGATACATTCAAGGAACCTCAAATGTTGCATTATGTTATGGGGGATCTGATTTTATTGTCAGTGGATATGTTGATTCTGATTATGCAGGTGATCGTGATAATAGCAAATCCACCACAGGTTATGTGTTTGCACTTGCTGGCGGAGCTGTAAGCTGGGTTTCAAAATTGCAGTCAGTTGTGGCTACTTTAACAACAGAAGCAGAATATGTAGCAACTACACAAGCTAGTAAAGAAGCGATGTGGTTGAAGATGGTGTTGGAGGAACTCAGCTATGAACAAAAGAAGATTTCTCTATTTTGTGACAGTCAGAGTGCTTTGCATTTGGCAAGAAATCCAGCCTTTCATTCAAAGACCAAACACATTCGAGTTCAGTACCACTTTGTTCGTGAGAAAGTGGAAGAAGGAACAGTGGATATGCAGAAAATTCACACCAAAGACAACCTAGCTGATTTTTTGACAAAAGCAGTTCAAACCGACAAATTTATTTGGTGTCGATCCTCGTGTGGCCTGACGGAGACGTAAGCAACATGAAGATGGCAAGATAGAAAGAATGATGTGAAGATATGATTAATGCTCAATCAAATCTTCAAGTGGGAGATTGTCAGGCGTCTACCATCACCGAAAGCAGCCTCACATTTTTGACAAGAGCACCCACCTTTTGACAATTGAAAAAGAAAACAAAATGGTGGAGCCTACTGCTACAGTAAAATATTAATATTTTATTATGCATAGTGTTTTTCCAAATCCTATAAATAGGCTCCAAATCCTTAAGAAAAAACTCATCCCAGAAACTTCTTCTTATATAGAAGTGTGTGAGAGAAAAAAATAGAGAGAGTATCTCCTTAAAAAGAGAGATTGTAACTCCAGAGTTTTCTCCTCATAGTGAATTCTTCTATCCTTACTCGTGGACGTAGGCAATCAAGTGCCGAACCACGTAAATCTGTGTGTCTAATATTTTATCTCTACTTTTGCTTTACTATTGCTGCGACCCTGCTCTATTAGGACCCGGGTTTGTCCCAACAGGAACATTGTCCAAAATTCACCAAGTCTATGCACTCAACTAAATAATTAACGATGATCAAATATTATGAACATTTTATTTCCTTAAAAAAGAGAAATTGCTCACGAAACAAAGATAAATGGAGCAAATCCTTTCCATGACCCCTTTATCTTAAATCTTGTACATCATCGTGTTATTTCTGACAAATGTTAACATTATAGCTGACATTTCCTTTATCCATTAAATGATTGGCTGTATCGATTTGACGCAAGATGACTCATGAAAGTGGAAGAGGAAAAAAAACATTTCAAATATCACCAAAGGTTCTTGGAAAATCTATCTCAAAAAGGTTCATGGAAAATCTATCACATGTTTACTCCATATAAAGTCTTTTCTTCTCGTACTGTTCTTTAGACTTCATCAAATGCTCACACTTTAATGTCAGGAAAAAAAAGAAAAGGCTAGCCATTTATTGGAACATTGTTCTTGTCAGTGGCTTTTACACACTCTGTCCTTTTTATGAAGTTCTTCTACAAGTACTCGGCATCAATATTCAGCCTCAATTGCTGAGATTTAAATGTGTTTTTTAAGTACTCTTACGCATGAACTTTGGGGGGTTTTGTACAAAATCAAAGAAACCCTTAAACACTTTCGCAGTTATACTAAACACCCGTGAAATATTTGAAAATCTTGCAAACCATGTTAATGAGTTGAACAGAAAGTTTGAAGTATGACGCATCAAAGTTTCGTGATGAAAAAATTGACACGTTCACCGTTTATGAGATTTTCTAATAGTTCAGAAAATTTTAAGTATAATTTTGAAAGCTTAAAGGGGTGGCTTTTTTTTATTATTTGAAAAGTCTATTGGCTTTTTGTACAAAACCCCTCAAACTTCATATGGGTCTTGTTTTGAGATTTACCCTTTAATTTATGTGCAAAAGCTGGCAACCTCCCATCAAAAGGATGATAGACAAGCATGGGCATAATGTGGTGAAGGCCAACAAGGAGCCTACTAAGATAACATGTGAACAAGAATCTTGAAGGTGATTAATGAAAGACATTTCACCAACCCACATGCCCTCAAACATCTTTCTTAATCACCAAATCCTCCCCTAAAATACCACAGCGTTTTGTCCTAAACAAACCTTAACCCCTTTCTCTGACTAGTTTATTTTATGGGTATATACTGAATTTGATGAAATGTTGACTGGTAAAAGGACAAATTGGCCCCTTTTACAGCTCCATATGGGTATTTGAGCTCTGATGAGTTGCAACAAACAAATATATTAAGATCTACTAATCCACCCACCACATGCACCAAAATAACAAGCATTGCCCGTATCTGACAACATTTTGCTGAAAAAATCTATGCATAAATCTCGGATGCCCAGCTTCACTCAGAGGGATAATTTAGTCCTTTTAATGGTCAATATCATGCAGAATATGAAGATGAAGTATAAAACAATGGTCAAGATCCTCATTATCAGTAGGTGATTAAAATAACTAAATATCAGCAGAAAACCACTGACACCTTCAACTGCCCAGTTTTAATAATCCTTAATTAGTCGCACAAAGTCCAAAGCTTCATGTTAGATTTACTTAACAATTCATTTCATCCATTGATTAATTAACAAGGAGACACTCAAGAATAGAACATTAGACATCAAAGTACATAGAACAAATAACCAAAGGACTGTTTCTCTTAAGAAACTTGACCTTCTCTCCACCCTCTCTAGGGGAGACCAAAGTGAAAAAAACAAACAAAAATAAGAGAGGACTCAAAAAAAACTCAAGCCTTAAACTTATATTGAGATGTTACAAGGAGATGGGTTATTGTTTTTATGGGCAATTAGAGCTTTTCCCAGGGCCACCGAAGTAGAAATAGCTCCCCCAGTCATCATTGTTGCCATTTTGGACGTCGTAGCAGTTGGATTGCTCAGTGAAGGTGCCAACTCCTTTAGGGGCTCTTAGGTTGTTGGATTCATCAACAACTTGAATGTTTCTGAAGTAGCTAGATTTGCCAAAGCCCTCTTCAGGGAAATGGCCACTGCCCATTTGCGTGGAGGTGTGTTGGCCGTCGGGTTCGGAGTTTACGACTTCTCCTCCCCATTCTATCATTGAAGCGCTGTCAGCTAAGTAGGAGAAGAGGAAGGAAGGCCAATAGCCCAATACATAGTCGTCTCCAAATTGCATCCACCAATGCCCCTCTTTAGGGTCCTGTTAACAAAAATGCAATAAGCTATGTTTCAGAAATGAGATAAGCATTCAGTTACCAAGTACTGTTCACCTTTGTAGTGCTGTAAAGGAAAAGAAAAATTCAACTTTGCAAGAAATTTGAGGGGCAGGTTAAGATTAGGGCTAATTTCAAAAAAAAAGGGTCAATTTTCCATTTACACACAACATAAACCCCTCCCCCTAATCGAGGTTTTTCCCCCAGTCATATTATTAGCAAATTAGATGTACAGGTTTCGGTGAGAAAAGTTTAAATTTCATGAGGTTTTGTAAGACACCCTAAAGTTCGGAATCAGGGGTTGGGGTTGTGGGATAGAAACAGTCCAGGGAGGTTATGTGCAAAAGCCACCGAAGTGCAGGGGGTATTAACTCTTAAGATGAAATGAGATATAACATTATCAAAAATCCTGGTCTAAGAAATTCATGACTCAACCAACCTAAGGAGGCCATGGTTCTTATTTGATTTTAAGTAATGTGTGCTGTAGAATAATTGCAGTCACTGCCAATTATTTTAGTTTTAATCAGAAAGTAGACATTGTAAAGGTGGGCCCAGAGGCTCATATAGCCCTTGGGTGAGGGCTAAATCATGTATTTATAATCCGTGAGGGACCCACGTATGCATTATGCAAGTGTTAAGCGTATTTGTGAAAACATAAAAGAGGTTGATGTCAAATACAATTAAAAATATGATGATACTATTTGTAAATCAACATATGGGCATCACTTTTAGCATTGTTAGTTAAGTTGTCGACGCAATTCAAATAGAGTTATAGATAACAAAGCATACGCTAAAATTGTATGCACAAACATCTTAAGCCTTCAAAATTGCAATGAAAAGAGTGACCTTTAAGCTAAAGGACACTTTAAGAAGCATATATGCAGAAAAGGATTAAGAAAGAATAAAACAGGTGTCAAAGATTCTCTGCTTTCCTTTCTGAACTCTTTTGATTTTATCTTGTAAAAATTGCATGTGAGTGGGGGGTGGTGGTCTTTGGTCTTATTATTACCTTCCAGACAAGAATCTTGATATCATATTGTGAGCCACCATAGCCTGAGATTGGAAATATGCTTGCCCCCATTGCTACCTCACTGTTGATCTGAATAAACCCTGAGCACAGCAAATTGTAGCAGCCTGTTGCTTGATATGCATCACTCTGTATTTTTGTTTTTTAATGAAAATTTGTTAGATTATGGCACTTTTTTTTTCTGTTCTCATGGAAATATGAAGTTAAAAAAAAGGGGTAATTGAGGACAGACCCCCCTGCACTATCGCCAAATTGAACTTATTACTCGTGTAGTTCTATAGTCGCCGATAGGCCCCCCGACCACAAGAGAGTCAAAATTCTCACTCAGGGGTCTACCTACAACAATAGAACTACAAGGGCAGCAAGCTTAATCTGGCAATAGTATGAAGGGGTCTATCCGCAATTAACCCAGAAAAAAATTTGTGAACTTACAGTCCAGTAGGTGAAGAGCCTAGTGTGATTATCCCCATACAGATCTGGACTAACCTAATGTTTTTCAGCCAAGTAACAAAATAAAGAATCAGATTATATTCTCATCAGATAAATTACTAAACCTTTTTTGAGGAATGCAGGAAAATTTACCTGCCAACCAGCTTCAATGCTATTGAGATCCTCCCCAAATGAACCCCCCAAAATCCACAGCTGAGAAAGGCTGAACTCATTTGCTTGTTCAATCTTTGGTTCCCAGACATTGATAGTAGCTTTTGCTCCAAAGTACTTATCTCCTTCCACATAAGCAATTGCATGCTAAAAATCAAAAGAACCCCGCAAAAAAGAATCAAACTTTGAACAACTTTATTCTAAAGGCAACTTTTTTTGCCACTGGAAAAAGTTTTTAGTCCCATACTTGATGCCCACTTTGGTTGATGAGGTCAGGATCAGCAGACCTAGGGGTAGGAATGGCTCTGTGCTTCTTCTTGCCAAACCTTTTCACTGAGCTAGCTCTCAGCAAATCATCCTTCTTGGTTCTCCTAATGGGGATTGTGTCCTCAGGGCACTTGCCATTGAGATGCCACAGCTGAGTTATTGACTTGGTTTCTTTCACTGAGGCCACTTTCTTCTCATCATAAAGGCCTTCTGGATGAAAAGTTGGTCTCGCCTGAAATAATTGTTTAAAAAAAATCCAGTAAAGTTTTGATTAATATGAGAGAAAAGATTGGTGTTTTTTTTTTTTTTTTGGCTTTTTGAAAGGAAGAGGAAAAGAGAGCGAGGACCTGGATAGTGTGGTTTTTGAGGAAAGGGTGATCAAAAGCTGGTTGATGAGAGACATGAACACAGTCTATGATATCTCCATCTGGGCTCTGCATTGGTTGAAAATTAAAATTTTATTAGATAAAAAATTGAACCCTGCTTAGTAATCATTACAGCATTTAAAGATGTGTTAGAAATTGACCAAAGTTGAATTGTTAGAAATTGTTAGAAGCTGACCAAATTTGAAGTAAAGGTCTTTTTTTTTTGATGAAAATGTACTTCAAAAGAGTAAAACCCACGTAATGGATTTCGAGAGTAAAAGCAAAATGCTAGAAATATAAGAACCATAATAACGGAGTAATGAAACAGCAAGGGCTCAATAAAAGCTCCTTGTTATCAGAAAATACATCTCAAATTGAAATTTTGAACAATGCCAACAAAGACATATCTCATAAAATTAGCTGAAATAAGAAAAGGCACATAAGGAAGTAGAAGCTAATTAACAAGGCCAAAAATGTAAGAATCGGACAATAAATAAATCTGCTTTTGGCAGAAAATATACTTCAAAATGCAAATCTAGATGAAACCCACATGCTCAAATTTGCTGACTTACCCAAAAAAGGGTTTTTTTCTAAATAATCAAAACCAATTTAAAGAAAAAAAAATCAGACCTTAATGGACTTGAGAGCAGGCTTGTTCAAGCGCTTGAGGTGCTTAACCGCCGAGCCGCTGCTCGAGACGGTGGCGAACTCCGGCGGAGGCGCACGGATAAAGCAGGAGACCAGCATCAGGAGTGCCAGGAGGCCCCGGCTCGCGCTAACTCGCGCCGGCATGGCTCCTTCCTCTGAAACTAAAGACCCTTTATTTATTTTTTTTTTTTGAATATTTTTTTCTTCCGGAAAAAAAGGGGATTGACTAATGTGGAAGCTGGGGCATCATTATTTTCAGCTGATGAGCAGATGTTGAGCCTTTGATTGCGACCAAGATTAGCATCACTTGAGGGCAGTGAGAACAAAGAAGAAGCCCTCTCTCTCTCTCTCTCTCTCTCTCTCAAATTATTCCCTTTGGTTTTTGTATTTGTGTCCGTTGGAGGATTTTGAGAGGGGTACAATGGGAAGAGATGAGAGAGAAGAGTTCCGTGGGTGGAGGGGAGAGAGAGAGAGCTACTGCAATATAGCAGGGTCTCTCTCTGCTTTCCAAGCCCCGCTCCCAAAATTATTGTACCTTTTTTGCCTTTTTCTCACCGAGGCTTCTTGCAGATGGATGCCTACATAATTTGTGGTTACATTGTAACCTCAGTAAACTTTTTTTTTTAACTTTCAGATTATTTTCTTTTTTTTTTTAACTCTTTCTTCTTGACTCAAAAATAAAAACTTTCGTAAGGAATATTGAATCATGAAAAAAATTCTCATTAATCATCGAGTTCAAAAAAATATAGAAAAAACCATATATGAAATTTATATTACTCTATCACGAGCGTGTAATAACAAAGGAGACATTCTAAGAAAAATAAAATATTTTGTCTCTACCTACGCTATAAGCAAAGATACGTACAATTGAGATAGGGCGTGTGCCCTAACTCAAATATGAAACTTACACTTTTTTCCTCATGTATGCTTGCTTTGATGTTTTTAGCGAGAGTTTGGTGCCCAACCTCATCATGCCTTTTTTTTTGCCATGAGTTTCGCATCATGTTCTAATGTAATTAGATATTATAGATGATTTTGTTAATTTTTAATATTATTGTTCTTGCGCTTCTCGTCTTATGATTTTCATAACTTACTTTTGAATAACTCGTATAAAATATTTTATGTACCAATTTCATAATATATTTAAAATTTCCATTTAAATATACATTTTTTTGTTAGATAATGCACATACTTAGCGTAAAATTCACTTGACCCTACTAAGTTTGGGTGGTTGGCACTTAACTCCAAACATTTGGACTCACTAAATCTCTAATAATTTTGATAAGTTAAGAAAATCTCCTAAATTTTAAGAAAATCTCCTAAATTTTATTTTATATTTAACACATACCAGCTTTTGGGTGTACTTTGATTCAAATAAAGAGTATCATATAAACTTAAAAAATAGTCATTGGGGTCAAGTGAAAAAATCAAAATGTTTTAGGAGTTTTCTGAAATTGCTAAAGCGCTATCAAACGTTTAGTAAGAGTTTCAAATTTTTGGGGGTTAAGTGTGAAATGAGTATTGGGGATCTAGTGAAATTTAACCTATGCTTAATTTACATTACTAAATATATTTCATGTTTATAATTACTATTTCAGTTGCTTTGAATATAAATGAAATATTCTAAACCATATCTCATTTGTGCTAAGCTGGATGAAAATCCATGTTACTTTCTTGACTTAGGCCAATGTGTTTTATTTTGTCTAGTGATTAAAAGTAATTGCTACTTATTTCAATTAAAAGTGGAATATTTCATGCGTTAAGTAGCTATCCAGTGAGAGTTCAGCAAGCAGACGAAGGCAATGTTTTTACTTCCTGTGAGGAATAAGAAGGTTAAAAAAAAAATCAAATTTACATATAAATTCTGATCTACAGAGAATGAAAAACGAGAATATGAATTTTGAAAACAAATAGAACAACTCGTGAGGGCGTATCTGCACAAAAAAACCTGCCATCGCTCCTCTGTTGCCGGTCCCACTTCACTGGGACAATGACGAAACTGCCCTGGCCGTAACATTTTCTGACGAGCTGTATCCAAGCATTGGATTCCAAATTTTCCCCTTCGCCTTTTCACGTGACTTTTCCTCCTACTCCACACGAGTCTCGTTCTACGCAATTCCCCGCCGCACGTGCGAGGTCGAACAACAGCACGGAGCACGGGTGTTCCGTCGGTACGCCAGACCGTAGAGTATGATTCAGCTCCGTTGACCATATACCGGCCGACTATCCGCCGTTACGCTGACTTCTGTTTTCCTTAGTTCCCACAAGGATTTAAGTGGGTTCGATGGGAAAGCATCCGACCCGAACCCGATATTATTAGGATTTTGAGTAGATTTTTATTTACTCTATTTGAGGAATATTTAGCCAGTAAAGGGAATGGTTGCTTCAAGTTTCATCTTGCAACTACGATATGATTAATAAATACAGCTAAGATCGCAGTGACAAAAGAGCGTCCAACCGCATCTAACAATTTATAGATTTAATGTTATTGAGATGATTAATATATGAGTATAGTCCAACATCGGATAAAATAAGAAAAAATGATGAATTTAAATAGTTGTTTGGGTCAATACCTGATAGCTATAGCTTTTTGGTTAAAATTGATTCATAACTTCTGTTTAAGGCCCGTCAACTCTAGATTGGATCCGATTTCTCCCCCAACAAGTGGTATCAGAGCTAAGGTCATGGTCCAAGTAATTAAAAAAAAGATGTTCTTCGATGTGAAGCCCAAAAGTATCGGGAGAATCCACGGATACCCGTAAGAGTGATATAGTCTAGTTAGCCACCATGAGTGAAGTGGTGGAAGTTCCTACGAATGTTTGATAGCTATCTGCTGAATGCATTAACTGATTAGTCCACGAGTGGAGAGGTGCGAAAGTTTGTGAATTGGTTAGCCCACGAGTGAAGTGGTACAAAAACTTAGTGAATTTCGAGAAAAATTGAATTGTAGTTGAATTGAAATATACTCACAAATTAAGGGAGAGTTGTTGAGGTGATTAATATGTGAGTATAGTCCCACATCGGATAAGAATATACTCACAAATTAAGGGAGAGTTGTTGAGGTGATTAATATGTGAGTATAGTCCCACATCGGATAAGATAAGAAAGAGTGATGAGTTTAAAATGTGAGTATAGTCCCACATCGGATAAGATAAGAAAGAGTGATGAGTTTAAATAGGAGTTTGGGTCAATAACTGATAGCTATAGCTTTTGGGTTAAAATTAATTCCTAACTTCTGCTTAAGTCTCATCAACTCTAGATTAGGTCCAATTTGCAATCAATCTAAGGTCAAAAAAAAATCTTAGCACAATTGCACTGCAATAATTACAGTTGCATCAAACCCACCAGCTCATAGTCTCAACTGTACTTGTGTGAAGATAAGTGATATTTGCATTACTGAAGTGCCTCTTTAGATAAAGATGAATAGAAGAGAATGGAAGGTAGGGGAACCTATTCACCCGGTTTGGAAAGTTTTTCAAAGTAGAAGTGCTCCCACTCATTCCCCTTGATTATCCTACAATTAATAGAAATTTGCTCCTCTTCAAATTGGGGAGGAACTTAAAGTTTTGAATTTGCACCAAGAGTCAAGCTATTGTTTTAAGCAATCGTATGGACAAACTCAACTAAGTGATGACCAATCCAACCGAGGTCAGAACAGGTCACAACTAAAAAGGACCTATTAAAGGACCACAAACGTTTCGTAAAACCAATTATAATAACTTAACTCCACGTCTTTTTGCTAGGAAACCATCAAAAATTTTCTAAATTTTTTTCCGCTTTTTGGATTAAACTAGCAACAGCCTATTTTGACAAAATGATGCACCCTTACAAAAGCCATGGCACAAATAGTAAGATTAATAAGATTGCTGTCTTGTGCATCGGCCCAAGTTTTAGAGAGCAAATCCTCTTAGAACAGCCTGTATGCGAGCAAGCGTTTTGAGATGCGCATGACAGCACTGGGACTTCCAAACTCCACCCTTAATTTACTGCATCCATAGTTACATACAGAAGTAAATCACGTTCTGCCATTACTTATGTTAAAGAGTTGTAAGCCAAAGAGAGATACGGGAGTGAGGAGATGAGAACTTTCGTTGGAAAAGGAGAATAGATGAAGAATATCATAGAGAAACGGAAACTATGATGAGAGTTTAGGGTTACAATTTTATATTAGTTTTAACATGCTTTTGCATGTTGTGGGCCTTTTTTATGGGTTGGAACTTAGACTCAAGCGCAGTGGTGGAGACAAAAAAAAAAATTCTGGAGGGGGTCAAAATACAATCATCATATTGTACATCAATGTAAATCTATCAAATACAATAATGTATGATAAATTTTTAATATGTAAGCAACGAGATTCGAACCGGTGTCAGCTCTGATACAATGTGAAAGTCCCTCTGACCATAATATCAAAACTCTACAATTATGATGAGACTTGAGGATTATACCTTTATATCTAACAAGCGAAACAAGAATCCAAAATGAAAATTTCACAAAATAACGTTATTTTAGTGAATAATTAAATCATTTCAACATATGCACCCGTCGTTTAATCAACACATATCTTTAAAGTTTTTTTTTAAAATAACTATTAGATGTAGTCAGTTTTTTGATAACCACAAACTATAAATTATAATTTTTCAATTACCTGAAATTAACAATACACTAAAAATTGTACCATTAAACTTATTTTAAACAATAATAAAAAAGGAAAAAATTATTATCACATTTATTTGTAGAGATACTAGAACATAGAAAACTCATAGTACATACTTAGTTCTTAGTATTAAACTTCACAAAATTGAAAGAGACACATTAATTTGACAATTGGATGATGTAATGTAAAACCACATGATAATATAAAACCATTGATTTGGAGCATTGTTGATTTTGGTTGACTTGACGATTTAAAAATTACTCATTCATGATTAAGACCACTATCCAATCATAGTTAACAATTAATATAGCAAAGAAACTAACTTTAAAACACTTCAAACATTTGGGGACTACTTTTAAAATGTGAAGATTTTTGGAACTAATTTCAAGTATAAACGATTTAGGGGACTAGTTTCTGATATGAAAGAATTAGATGGAGTAGTTTCGAATATAAATGATTTGTGGGGACTAATTTCAAACATAAAACCTATGGGGCTATTCAATATAAAAAGATTTGAGCGGCTAGTTTCAAGTATGAAAGATACGGGGGACTAATTAAAATGACAAGCAGCTACATGTGCATGTTTGGCAATAGCCAAGGGGGCCATGGCCTGTTTGTGCGCAGCGGAAATTTCAGCATCACCTCGACAGCACAACAAGAGAGTTAGATCGCAATAGGAATTCTTGTTTCACCAAGGAAACAAGAACCAAAATCAAAATATTTCAACAAAGTGAGATATCAGCTATTCCTCTCATCAGTTCTAGGACTGACCAGTCGAGGGAACCTAAATAAGCT